TAAATATTGTAGAAACTTAATTTTCTGTAAAGTTGCTTTGCAACTATTTGTATCGTAAAAAGCGCTATACAAATAAACTTGAATTGAATATGTGTGTGTGTGTGTGTGTGTGTGCGCGCGTTTTTGTGACAAATGAGGACATAAATTTGTATAATGACAAAGGTATGACATAGGTATTACAAGGAGAAGGTGAATTTTTTTTAAGGACATTACCCCATGTCCCCACTTTTGAAAACGCTTATAAATCACACAGAATGGAGTGTATTGAACATCTGAAATAGCACAAAGTCTCCTGTAAGGGGTAGGTTTAGGGGTAGGGTTGGTCTAGGGCAATAGAATATATGGTCTGTACAGTATAAAAACCATTACGCCTATGGAATGTCCCCATAAGACATGGAAACACAACAAACATGTGTGTGTGTGTGTGTGTGTGTGTGTGTGTGTGTGTGTGTGTGAAAGGACAGAGTCAAATCTGTGAGTGAAATAGTTTGACTGTACCTGTCACTTTGAGCTCAGGCCCAGGATAACCCAGATGTCTTTGTTTTTCTACATTTGTCAGGATTCTGAGGCAGTACATTGCTTCATCCTCATGAGTCACATTACTGAGACTGAGAAAGGTCATTCTGTCTTGATTCTTGAAGAACTGAACTCTGCCTCTGTAATCTGGATGAGCCAACAGATTGATACTCTCGTGTTTAGATGGGTTTACAGTCCAGAATGTCTGTGTCACTGTGAGATGATTTGGGAGTTTATAAGTGCCTGATAAATTTATTGTTGAACCCTTTAGAGCACATTTCATCATACTGGAGTACTTAACCTCCCATCTGTGGCTGCAGATCACTGGGAAATATCAGGAAAATACACATTTTGAAATGTATTCCATTCTGTGTAATTGTTTTTACTTTTATCTAAACACAGATGCAGTTTAAAAGTAAGACGTGCTCAACCTTACATCATCTGCTTCTGTAGTTTTCGTTAAAACATTTATTTACTGAGTTTTACTTACTGTAACCAGCCAGAAGACAAAATAGGACAAAATCAATATAAAAGATGGACGTTGATAATGCTCATCCTCTCTATATTCCAAGTTTTCTAACATGCCGCTCTATGGATAACAAAAACTTTACATGAATGCAAAAATGGCACCACTAACCAGTATTTGCAGGAAGTGTCTAATCTGATCTGTCACTATAGGCATAATGCACAGTACTGAGGGTGTCTGTGTTAGTTTTGCAGAACTGTGAACACTACAGTATGTGAGCAACACATTCCCACCATACACATCAAACTGTCATTAAACACAGAAATACAGACAAACATACTGAACGATAGATATGGGTTTCTTCAACATGTTGAAATAAGATTTAGGTTCAGACTCACCAGGAATCATGAGCAGAGAAATCAAAGAGGAAAGACAGAACATTCTGGAATACATTAGGAAGATTGTTAAATGTTACATTTATGACAGAAATGTACTGCAGACTGAAGTGTAGTTGCATGTTTGTAATGTTTAATAATCTAACTATACCGAAACTGTAGAAAAACATGTATTTGTATTGAAAAATATATATATATTGGCCCTACCTTGCTTGAATCTGCAGGCTTTGAGTGTAATGTAACAGTGACAGTTGATGTATTGTATGCAATGCTTAATATTACCAGATATCCGTTGTGTCTCTTCACTTCCTCTGTCTGAGTGAGAGACGCTCCTCCTACAGTCACAGGACACTATAGCGCATAACTCAACACAAACCCTGATGAGAATGTCTGACTAAACGCCTGAGTCAGTCAAACCTCATTGCATCTGCACTGATGCATTAAATCAGACAGACGGGAGCTGAACTGAAGAGCTTATTTTACATGCAAGTTCACTGAAAACTACGGAAACTCAAGTCAAAGTGACATTCCCATTGGCACTGGAGAAAATAGCTCTCCTTCCTCTTTTTCTTTCTTTTTACGGTTATACTGATGTTGTAAGAGCCATGAGCAAAGTGCAACATGCTCCGATGTGAGAAACGGCTTCTTAACATTGTTGACTTCCTCGAAAGAGTCATCAACGCCCATTCAACAATTAACCCAGGTATTTCACATAAATATAGAGAAAATGGCATTTAATGATTTAATAATTGATCATTCACTTTGATTCCTATACCTATATTACAATTCAAATAAAAATGAATGAATGTGATTAACTGTAAGGCAGCCTTCACAATGCAAAGACAAACTGAGAAAAAGACTTGCAGAAGGTGTTTATGGGGTTGCATGCGAATGGAAGTTCACAATGTTCTAAACAAAAGGGATTGAGGCGAAACAGCCCGTTTAGATCTGAGGTGCCATTTTTTCTTTCTGCAAGAACTAGTTTTAACAGAGCATTGAGGCCTTTATAAGGTGAATCAAAGATGGCGAAAAACACTCATGTGAGAGTTGATGAGTGAGCGATCAGCACCGCGGACAGCGCCGCTCCTCCACAGAGTCCACACCTCTGCAGCTCACCGACCTGACGCGACATCTACAGGACAGTGCATGTAACTGCACGCACATCATGCTAGTGACAGGCTGTGTAGACATCTAGATTTCTTTACCGGATGAGCTGCTGTATAGACAGTGTTGGGCTCCCTACTGCAAAAATATAATTTATTACTCGTTACTAGTTACTCCTTTCAAAAGCATTACTATCTGGGGTAACACTTTATTTTAAGGTGTCCTTGTTACACGTTACATGTACTTACTATTATAATAACAATTAATTATGCATAATTACATGCAAGTAACACTACGCCAAACCCTAATCCTAACCTAACCATATAGCAAGTACATGTAGTTAATTAATATTACTCAGTACTTAAATGTGTAATTACACTGTAACCAGGACACCTTAAAATAAAGTGTAACCCTACTAGTAGTTACACTACTAGTTACATTACTTTTCCTTCACGCCCCACAGAAGTTGTAATTGTGTGTCTTCCCCATAAAATTCTTCTGAAATGTTACTAACAATATATTCCTGCCTCATCATTTGACCAATCGCAGTCAGAAGTTTTTACAAGCACTCAATGGTGATTGATAGTGACTTTTAAGTAAAAGTGTTGTATTAATTGTCATGTGTAGCTTGAAGCTAATTGTAGCTATAATTTTGCCCAAAATATTTCATGAAGTATTTTATCAAAAAAGAAATCACATAAGTTCATAAGATTTTTAATTATAGTAATATAATTTATATGAGGATAAGATGGGATGTGGGTGGGCAAGCCATGTGATTCCAGAGTAAAATAATGCCATAACTTACACAACTGTGCTTTGCTTTTCTCATGACAAAATCAGTGTAATGGCAATATTCCCATCCCCTGAATGTAAGCTTTTCCATATTCCAAGCTTTCCTGATGCACTGCTGACTTCATGTGCCTGTGGGGGTCGTGAAAATTATGACAGCAAATCCAGGAATTATTGGATTTCAAATCAGTAGGGGTTGAGGCATCAAAAGTACTAAGTAATAGTACTTCTCACTGCAAGCCTATAAATATACGCGACGGCTCGTGAAAGTAAACATTGTCATTTTGTTTTGCATAATTTTAATAAAGCGATAAAGACCTGGGAAAAAAGCCTGTCATACTTTTTATTGGTACATTTTTTAACATTGATAATTTTAACATTGACAAAATATAGCTAACATTAATTACACATGCCTAAGTCTAATCGTTTTTACAAATACATATGTTCAAATAAAAATAATATAAATATTATTCGAGGTAGCCTGGCAAGACCGGTCTCCTGGTGATGTGTCGTTCGCGACCGAGCCGATTCTTTGTAGCGAACGAGAAGAGCCGACTCCCGTCGGGGAGAGCCGAATCTTCAGCCAGAGTCTTCTATTTTAGCCCAATTTAGCTAGACAGCAGGAGACGGCAGATGTTTCTGATTTCTCACTGCACAGCTGTAGTTCCCCGTATCATCACTGCTGACCGACTGCAGCAACAGCTGATTCGAGCCGATCGATTCGGATAAATTCTTGCCATTTTTATACCAAGTAAATTCTGTTTTACCTGAGAGGTCACAGGTGGTCTTACAAAATAAAACAGGTGATTTCCCCTCAATTATCTCTTCAGGAATCTCCACTCTGAGTTCTGAAATCACAGACAAAACATGTTTCATATGAAAGATCAGAGTCAAATCTGTGAGTGAATTAGTTTGACTTTACCTGTCACTTTGAGCTCAATCCCAGGATAACCCTGAAATCTTTCCTCTTTTTCATTTGTCAGGATTCTGAGGCAGTACATTGCTTCATCCTCATGAGTCACATTACTGAGACGGAGAAAGATCATTCCGTCTTGATTCTTGAAGAACTGAACTCTGCCTCTGTAATCTGGATGAGCCAACAGATTGATACTCTCGTCTTTAGATGGGTTTACAGTCCAGAATGTCTGTGTCACTGTGAGATTATTTGGGAGTTTATAAGTGCCTGATACATTTATTGTTGAACACTTTAGAGCACATTTCGTCATACTGGAGTACTTAACCTCCCAGTTCTGGCTGCAGTTCACTGGAAAATATAAAACAGGAAAATACAGATTATATGCATATTCATCTCTTAAAAGATACAGTAGATTTGTGTTTATATTTCCACTTTATTCTCTACAAGAGAAATCCACTTCAGCAGTACCCATATTGTCCGTTTCTCTGATTGCTTGGATTGCCTTTATATATTGTTTGTTAAACATAGAAACTTTACTCTTCAGTTTTACTTTCAATTTATTATAAGCATCCAAACACAAAATAAAACAAGATTAGCATATAAATTGGGCATTGTGGACATGTTTGTAACAGTCTAATCTCCAGTGCAAAACAACTTAAAATAAGAATTTGTAACAGACTCACCAGGAATCATAAGCAGAGAAATCAGAGAGAAAAGACAAAACATTCTGAAAGACATTAAGAAGATGATTAAAATTTCAAATATATAAGATTGAAGTGTACGGTTTCAGACAAATACATTCGGATCATTTAGTAACCTCAACAACCCAATCAATCAGTTTATATTTGATGCAGAGAGATCCAGGCAGACACGGCAGTGATGACGAAAGAGTATTTTTATTCAATAACAGGATGGATACGAGACACAAGATTCTAGACTGAATTTGAAATAAATGCAACCAAATCTTACTAACGTACACTCAGTGCAGTGCACTTCAAATTCTAAGAAAACACTTCAGTCATATGAAAACTCTTATTTGTCAAAGTGTAGTAAATTCTGCCATTGTGTAAGCACATTGTTCAGGCAAGACAGTAGCTAACGTGAATCACAAAAACAAGTATTATAACTCGCACTACTGATATTAAGAACTTGGGTATATAACTTTTGATTACATTCTTTTCAAACAATCAATGATAAAGAGTCATAATCAAATGATAAAGGAAAATGCAATAAAAGAAATACACACTGCTACTCAAAGGAAAAAATATGACTAATAAGAAATAACTGATCAGCTGTCCTACCTTGCATCACTGTAACTTGCAGGGCTCATATATTACAATGAGAGCTGATCAGGCTGGACAGTGGGAAACTTTGTCTCTAAGATGTTGCCACTTCCTGTCTGTATTTCCTCTGTGTGAGTGAAAGATGCTCCTCCCCCAGTCACATGACACTAATGTAGATTCTACATAAACATGCGCTATGTGAACTTCTTGATGGACACACGAGCACCTTGTTTTCAAGACGCCATGTCAAGATAAAAGAAAACAGAGACCACATAATAGACTTTTTTCTAATGAGAGAACACTGAAATACTGCTGAAACAGTAGTGTGACACAACACTTCTGAATGTCGTTGTGATGCTTCCTTTTTTTCTTTCCATATTAGTGCTGCTGTTGCAAAATTTGTGAGCATCATGCAACTCCTTCAGTGACAAGCATTTCTGAGTAAAAATTTCCATTGGATTTCTTGAGTAAATACTCATCAACACGACCTCAAACAACAAAACCACTCTAGAAATGCAACATAAATACAGTCAAATTAAAACGAACAAACAAATATATAAATAAAGTAGAACTTTATTTCTTTTACAGTGTACTCTTTATCATTCATGCGTTTTACTTTGGTGCAAATATGTTTAGCTAGTGTAATGGAGGCCAGCGGGTAGGTGCTGTGCAGGTAAACCTCACTCCCCTGATCTCAAGAGACGCACTAGCGACTGACGCTAGAGGCTGCAGTCTTTAGCCTCCTTGTTAGTGCGCCCGCCTCCCATGCCGGAGACCCGGGTTCGAGACACACTCGGAACGAGAACGAGGTGTGGCGGTGAGAACCCGGGGGAGAGGGGTTACGTTGGTGCCGTGACCCGGATGGGAGTGAGGTTTAGGGGGATGAGTGTAACGGAGGCCAGCGGGTAGGTGCTGTGCAGGTAAACCTCACTCCCCTGATCTCAAGAGACGCGCTAGAGGCTGCAGTCTTTAGCCTCCTTGTTAGTGCGCCCGCCTCCCATGCAGGAGCTACGGGTTCGAGACCCACTCGGAACGAGAACGAGGTGTGGCGGTGAGGACCCGGGGGAGAGGGGTTACACTATACTGAGTTCAAGATGACAGTGAAGAGATAAAGGACACGAAGACTTACTAAGAAGTGTTTATGTCTGTAAATGGAAGCTCAAAACCTGAAAATGCCATTTTACATGGAGCTTTAAGCGTTAATCTTATCACAACTCGAGGATAAATAAACTTACGTGATAATAATGCTGGCTTCCCTTCACAACTTCAACTCTGTGAACTCTGCTTTTACGTTTTAATAAGAAGAGCTCGAGCCTCTTCATTTTTGTGTCCCTCCCCTTTATTACCATAACTTTCAGGACAGTTGTTCAGTAAACAAGCAGCACCGCCTTATACTCCACACCTCTACAGCACACCTGAAGCGACATCTGGAGGCAGGTAGATGTAACTGCAATGCATATATTATCACATAGTCGACATTAATTCATTTTCTTAATCCCTGTTACTGGCTTTATTGTGCACGATTCATGCATGGATAATTTTGACATCATAATCCTTAATACGAATGCCATAACTCTTCCTGTAATATGATAGTTTATTTCTGCTTATGTAGCAACTTGCTGACTTAAAACAAATCTAGATTTCTTTACAGGCTAAATATGAGTATTTTTTTCATAGTGCCGTTGATCTGGGTGTAACACTGCAGGATAAAAGTAGATGGTAAAGAAGGGGATGAAACACACTTGCTAAAGTAACACATTTTTACAGATGGACTGAAGGACACTGAGATGCTCTTTGGAGGATCTAAACAGACAAACAAGTGTGGAATGAAAATCAGTAAAACATACACAGTTGTAATCAACTCAAAACATGTTTTTTGCAATTGCTTTGTAAGCATCAGATTTTTCCCTGCAGAAAGAACTGTCATTTCATTATGAAGAACTCGTGAGATGTTTCAAAGTAAAGCTCTCAGCTAACTTACATCCAGGTCTAACAGTGATTTCAGCAGATGTGGAGTTTAGTCCCTCATGACCGCTTATGGTGCAGGAATATCGGCCTCCGTCCTCCAGCTCGACAGACTCCAAAACAAGTATGTTGTTCCCATGGTGTTGCTCGTGCAGATGCCCATCTTTGCTCCAAATGTAGGTTGGTACAGCCATGGAGGGGATGCATGAACCACAGACAAACAAAATCCAGTCTCCCTCCATCACAACATCAGACTCGGCCTTTACCTCCAGCTCTGCATCTGGACCAGAAAGAAGTCTATCCTTGATATGAGTGTTGTGTAATCAGATTACTTCTAAGTAACTGGTAATTCATTACTTTTTCATTTACAAGGAAATATCCGAATTACTTTTTCAAATTAGTAATGCCAGTTACTTTGTCTTCCTATTTTTTCCCCATGTTGAGAGAAATCGTGAGTAAGTGCACTGTCTGAACAAGATGTTTAGTTCTAGACTAAACATGAACATGCATTTACTCATCACACCTGAACAAAAAAACAGATTCAGTATTCCTCAAAATGAATAAAAACAGTGAAATGCAAACTCAGAATATGATGCAAATGCAAAGAAGACAAATAGCTTTCATGTATTTAATCCCATTTTATTAACCAATGTCTTTGCTGGTGACCTTTGATGAGCCAATTCAACCATATGAATAAGCAAAAAGATTTTGTTTTATTGCTGTAGTGTTGAACCTTCTTCTCCAGCGTCATGCAATCCATAATGGCAGCACAGCTGAAAGGTTTGTTTGAGCTGCGCCCTCTACTTTACAGACGTGAATTTACATTCCCTTCAGCCTGAGGCTTATTCACATTTCATGTTTTGGTGTGAAAGGGCTTTTATATTTGCCAAAAAAAATAGCTTTTTTATATCAAAAACATACAAGCAAGCCCAGCCCAGATGAGAAAAAGTAATGCAATGCATTACTTTCTATGAAAAGTAATTAAGTAACCATTGCTTTTTTTTTGGGAGTAATGCATGAATGTACTGTAGGGGATGTGAATGTAATGCAATGCAATGTAAGTTACTTTGGATATAAACAGCAGCATGTTGTGTCAATTAGGTACTTTTATTTTAATGATGTGAAATTGTAGCAAAAATGAGAGTGATCTAACAACCGTTATTAGCAGAATACATTAATAAATGACAATTGACACTGAACATAAATAAATACTTAAAGTAAAACAAAAATAGAAACAGAAAATAATGTAATGAAGACCAAGTTCCAGTGAAATACTGTATCGTCACAATCCTCTATGATGCCTGTAAGCCCATCATTATGTGTATTTTGGTGTGATTGAATGGCAGTTTCTCTCTGCAGATGACGAGGTTGTAGGATGTGACAGCATCTGAAACACACAACTGAGTTTAGAGTTACAATGTAAAAACAATTATACAAGGGTTAGTCCATATTTGACCCAAAATTGGGTTGAAACAACCCAGCATTTTTTTTTTAGAGTGTAGTATCCTTAACTGAACAGAGCTGGTCGCACTTACATGTTTTCTTAAACTAAAAAGAGAAAAATTCATGATTGGTAGGAAAACAGTTACAGTTTGAAAGTTAAAAACTATAGACATTTTAAGAAAGAAATCATTTACCTGTTGAGAGTGTGTTGACAGTCTGTGTAGTCGGATGGCTGAGCTCCAGAAAATCAGTAATGAGCCATCTTTTCGTAGTTTTATCCTTTAAGTTACATAGTGACTATGGTTTTATCATGTACACTCTTATTATTTAAATGTTGTTCTTTTTGAAAAAAAAAAAGTTGCATAGTGTAGTTTTAAGCAACCCAAAATGTTTAGTGCTTGATTCTTAAATGAATACTGTATAATCAGTTGAATTCCAGCGCTCACACTGAAATGTAAAAGGTCTTTATTCACATCTATTATCTTCACTCACCTGTTACTTCTAGCCGGATTCCCTGATCGTTTGTCCAATTTCGCCCGGAAGCAGTGCTGAACACAAACCGGAAGATGCCCGCGTCACTCTCTCTCACATCCCTCAGCAGCAGTGAGCAGTTTCCCGCGTCAGGCTGCACAAACTCCACACGGCCTTCAAACGCGGGCTCCTGAGAGACCCTGACCTTCTGCTCCGGTGATTTCTCATAGAGCCATTCGGCTGCACTCACCTGCTCGTATTGAGAAGTGTATTTGCAGGGTACGAGCACCGTCGACTGCCGAACCACACACATTCTGCTGACGATATGAGTCACGTCATACTGCACACCTGGAATACACACGAATGCATGCCTGAAATGCTGCTTTGCGACACATTAAAAATAAAGGTTCTTAATTGGCATTATATGGTTCCATGATGAACCTTAAAACCAAATACACTCTTAAAAATAAAGGGTTCAGAAGACGACTATTTCATTATACAGTACACTGCAAGAACAGAAAGCTGTAACGTGTGACCGTTTGTTCTCAACTGAAGGGACACAGGAAGCTGTAAGAGAAGTTATTTTGCAAATGTGCTGCCAGTAAAGCAACTTTGTTTTCTGCTTATCGGAAAACAGTCTTCTGTAAAGACTGCTGTTCATTACGTCACCACATCACAGATATGTTACCTTTTGCCATCAGAGAGATCCAGATGAAGGATTGAAGCAGTAGAGCTGGACACACCTGCAAGACATGAGATGTATCATGCAAAACCTCCATAAAATATCTGATCTAACTATCTTCACTAGTAATTATGTATTCAGTTGTCATTATTCCTTAACCTTTTACAGAAACGCTTAATAAAAGCATGTTTCCAGCCTTGTGCTTATCACTGCTTGACTTAAACTGACCATAAATGACCAGGCTGTTCTTTACTGCTATACGTCTTAAATACAGTGCAGTGTAAGAGTAACTTCAGTGAGTTTAGATTAATGAAAGAAAAAAAAAAAGCATCTCAGTCATTTCAGCTAAACATGATTTAAAATGAAATACATTACCATGATATGGACGAACATAAAAACAGCCGGTAGAAGTACAGACACTGTTGTGAAACAAGATGGCTTAAGACCAGAATAACATACATCCTCTTCCCGTGTGAAACTATAGAGAGGACTTGTTCTGCACTGTCTAAAAAAAAAAAAAAAAAGGGAAAAAAAAAAAAACTGCTGATCACGCTGGTCTTAAATGGCATCATATATAACTACGGAAAATACTGTAGCTCTGAAGGCGCCAAATATTATAGCTCATTCTTATGTATACACTGTAAAAAAATTTAACCCCTTTCAACTTAAAAACGTAAGT